TATGAATACAAATAAAACTGCGATTTTAAAAGTCTTATTGCTTTGACTTACGGTCCATTTCGATTTGTTTTAACAACACAGGGTTAATAATTTCCGAAGTTTTAAATATTTTTGGGATAAAAAATTACCTATACTAATTTAACGATTCAGTTAACGACTGTGAACAAACTATTTTCAGGAAGTGCGTTATTTAAGTTACATGTTGTATAATTCAAAGGTGACTGACTGACTGACTTAGTGATCTATCAACGCCCCGGGACTCTCTATCTTTTAACCACTGAACTTATTTTAGAGAGATTCTATACAACAATAGTCGATAGAATAAATTTTATCACTAAAACCTTACAGAAACAGGCACTGTACGGGTAAGATCCCAGCGGGATTATTTATTTTTTGAAACCACGATAAATCATTCCACAGACACTGAATTGATTCTGTTGAATTCTGTCAGAAGTAATTATTCTACGCAGACGAAGTCGCGAGCAACAGCTAGTTCTTTTAATAGAATGCTTTGGGTGATTGGGTGTGATCCACAATCGAAATCAAAGCCAAAAATATGGTTTATAGAATTTTTGTCTGTTTGTCTGTATGGATGTCCGGGCTAAACTAAAAAACTACTGCATGGGTTTACTTCAAATTTTGCATAAATATTACTAACAGGTCGAGTTAAAATACAGGCTATTTATTATCACGCTATAACCTACAGTGAAGGAGCTGTGAAGCACTATTCCACGCAGACGAAATCGCGGGCACAGCTACCTAATATACCTCTATGTATAAACTAGCTACACACGGTTTCACATGCCCTGCTCGACTCCTCCTAGCGTGGTGTTTTAAAGTAGATTAAAACATAACATAATACAAAATATACTATAACCTTCTTCGGTATATGGATAGTCCAAGTCAAAAATATAATTATTCATTTCGGACCATTACACAAACTCTTCGGCTTTATTTATTAGTACATATATACGTTTTTTTAATTATAAACTTTTTGTCATCCTCAAATTGTTGTTTCGGGTCTGGGTGTCATGTGTATGTGAACTTGTATGTTTGTAAACGCACACATGACAGGGGAAGAAACTGCCATAGTATAAAGAACAAAGTAGGTTATCTTCATACAAATGCTCCGCGCGCGGCTTATATGTGTGCGCCATAGTATCTATGCGTCGACGCACGCACACTTTAACAAAATCTCGACCCGTTTCTCAGTGCGCCAGGCAGGGCTAACACTGCACGAGGTTCGCGCGCGCTTCACGGCTTTTCGGCACTGTTCAATGAAATAAAAAATGTCTGATAATCGTAGAAGAACGTATTGCTGTGTGTTTGGGTGTCTTAATAATTAATTGATTTCAGAACTGTCTCTGTTCAGATTAGGTACCTATTGAACAGGAAAGGTAAGATAGTCACTTTTTCTAGCATAATATAATTTGAAGGTACTTGATGATGAGATACCTACTTACTTATTCTTACTCTTATCATTCTTCATAGTTCCTACTCAACCAGAAATGTAATTACCTACTATACTTAAATATTATAAGAAAATGTGGTATTGTATTGTTTATTTCACAGTTTATCTGATTTGTTAAGAACGTAGCCGAGTCGCATTTTTCCATATAAATGTATTCCCAAATTTACTTTCTGAATACTATGTATAGAGCTAAAGTTTATTTTAAGAAGTTAATTATCTTTTTATAAGCTTTTCATTTTTACTAAATTTATATATTGATAAAATATTCAATCATAATATGCTTTTCATTTCATAAATTTAGATCAAGTGCTGCTTGTTCGAAAATATTAACTAAAAGTAAAAGTGACAACCCTGGGGATCAACGCAAGAGTAGGCTAATAACTCGGCGGGCGGCCTTAGACAACCTACTGTATATGTTTATACTGTGAAACTGCTTCGGCGGAGGCAATGTCCTTTAAAAAAATTAGCCTGTCATACTTTTCTTTTATTTTCTTTCGATGTAAAAAATCTCGGAAGGATGAACTCTGCACTTCCAGTTATACTAGCTAAAATTAACTAAATAACCGTATTCATTTTTCTTAGTAGTTATCTGACCTAATTTGAAAAAGGTTGCGCGACCAATTAAACGAACAAGATAATTAACAAACTCAAAGAGCACCCATTTACCCACGAGGAATACCAAGCACAATATTGTGTTATCTTCAATCTGCCGGTCATGCAAACGGTACAAAGACGATATTTACATGCAAGCCACAAGATCGGGGTCCGAAGGTACCAATTTTGGCATTACAGCTAAATTAAATTTGTGCAAAGGTCCGACCGGCGCGTCGCCCGACGCACTGTAGACCGTCAGCCGTGGCAAGCAACGTGCCGATTAAGTAATCCTGTTAGTGGGAGACGAGGTTGCTTCCGCACCCCACAAAGAGGACACAAAATCCTAAATATAAACCTAGATAGATGTAAAAATTACTTTGTTTACCTTGTATGTCAACAACATACGAAACTAGTATAAGTGGCAGTTCAAGGCAATAGGGATGAAGACAAGATATGAAAATTAAAAATCTAATTTTTATTTATTAATAAGACATTATAATTAATAAGATACGTATTTTTTATTTTGTCGTATAGGGTCCGATTTTTCCAACTCTAGATAAATTGTAACTGAGGAATAAGTTTAAATATTTGCCAATTCTTCCATACTAAAAACTGTCAAATGTCAATGTTTATTCTACAGTTAAGAATTAGAATTAACTGATAATGATATTATAATTGAAAAATCGGTCCTAAAAAGCCATACTACGTCATTAGTATAAAACGTACAACAAAAGTGACGTCACGTAATATTTCAAATAAATATGTCGTCGGAAGTATTTGTTTTCGTAAGAAAATAAAAAATACGTGTCTATTGTTTTTATATAATCTACCAGACGGACATTAAACTAAAAATTAGTGATTTTTGCTGATAAGTGTTTCGTATATTTATAATTGGCACGAGTAATTAGAATTCAATTAGAAATTTAGTTTTGTCCATGATAAAACGTTTAAAAAAAATAGTAGTACTTCCTAGTTTTTACCGACTTCAAAAAAAGGAGGAGGTACTAGAGGTCTGTTCGGCTGATTGTTTTTTTTTTTTGTTTAGACCTACCTACTTCAAAAAAGGACGTTCTAAATTTGACCTATATGTACGTATGAATGTACATAATTATGTTTGTGCGCGAGTGTATCGCTATTAACTGAACCGATTGTGTATGAAGCAGCTTTCAGAAAAGTGTTTCAGTTAGGAGAAGGTTTTAGTATACACCTCCTATATATATAAATTAACTGACTTCCAATAAGATTTCTTCCTTCCAATTTTTAAATGTGGGAGAGCCATGCTTCGGCACGAATGGGCCGGTTCGACCGGAGTGATACCACGGCCTCACAGAAAACCGACGTGAAGCAACGCTTGCGTTGTGTTTCGTCGTGTGAGTGAGGTTACTGAAGGCCCAATTACCTTCCCCTTCCCCAATCTCCCCAATCCCTTAATCCCCAACGATCCTCAAACTCCTAATCCCCAAAAAGCCGGTGACGCCGATTGCTTACCATCAGGTGATCCGTCTGCTCGTTTACCGGCTTATGCCATAAAAAAAATAAAAAAATAAGAGGGTGTTAACGTTGGTTTTTTTAACGTGGTTCATAATTTTATTCAGAAATTTTCCATCATTGAAATTATGAATAATTGAATAATTTAACAGCAATGCTATTAATTGTTGTGCCCAAAGCTGTACCTTTGTTTTAGGACTTAACAAATTACGTTACGCATTTTGCGCACACATGACGTTATTTGTACCACATTAAAATTATTTTGTGAAGACTAATTTACACACAATCAGCGAAGCAATAGGTATATGTAGGTACCTAATTTTACAAATGTTTCTTTAACTTACATTATTGATTGTAGGTTTGTTCGGGTTTTTAACTATTTATCATATACCTTCACTTGTTTCCTTTTACTTTATGTATGTGTCCCTTATTATAAACTTGTTTTTGTAACCATGGTCGAAAAACACGCATACAAAAAAGGTAAACAAAACGATTTAAAAAAACCTACAGACTGAACCTGTCAAAAGAAAGATATCGTTGTGTAGTTATCATATTTATGTTATTGAACTCAATCGGTACTAAGCCCGGTACCTCCTTCAGGTGCGGATGGTACCGGAGACGTTTTAGTGACATAAAAATCGCACACTCCCCAGTTCTTTTCCCCAAAAAGCTAGACGCTTTTTGAAGGTTTCCCCCGTCACCAAAAAAGGTACTGAACATTTAAACAATACCTAATTATAATTCTTGATAAAAAGCTAATCACCGGTCGTTTCAAGTAGGTACAAGTTTGACTATCATATTACAATTAAGATGAACAAAATCTTCCACAGCATTTGTTGACGTCATAGTTTTTGTACCGATCGATATCGAAAAACCCAACACATAAATAAAACTTTGAACTCCAATTGTATTAGTTCTGATAATCTAAACCTTATAGTTATAGTAAGTAGGCAGATGTCGTGGTTTAAGAATCAATATAATAATAAATTATACTTCAGTACCTTTAGTAGTACTGCAAAAGTCATAAAAACAAACTTGTTAAGTACCAACGATAATTTTGATGGACAAAAAAGCGGATAATTCCAACAAGACCATACCGTACTTAGCAATTATATTCGGTTCCATCTTTTTCAATGATACAACAAAAAATTGAGAACCGACAACATGAATTCACTTGGCTTATTTGATGTCGTCAAACATTCAAACTTGAGAAAACATTTCGAATAAAACCATTAAATATGCTAATAAAGTATGCATACCTCCTTACTTTAGTAAAAGATTCAAACCTGCTTTTCCAATCCGGGCCGTGTTTCCCCTAAATATTACGTCACGACACCTTAATTATAAACTAATTTACAACTGTCTCTCCATTACTTATGAATTAAAATTATCCTATGAATTAAAAACGTGAATTTAAAATAATTTTTAAATTTTTCACAGAGACAAAATGGCTCCCAATACAGAAAAACGACAAGTAAGCTTCCCTCAGTTGGAATATCCGATTTATCGAGAAGCACAGCCGAAATCTGCTCAACACTGGTTAAAAGGAAAGAGAATGCAAGATGGCGCCGAGGAATTGTGGAGAATTCATGACAGTCTTTATGATTTAACAGATTTTATATCTTCACACCCTGGAGGGTCACAATGGATAGCTGTTAATAAGGTGAAGAACCAATATCTATTAAAAAAATGTATGTGCATGTAAAGTTCATTCCCCTTCGAATTTTTTAAACTGTTGATGCTAAAAGAAAAAAAATCTTTCAAAGAGGTAATACAAAAACGGTTATTACTAAACCACTTATCCTAAACACACTTGATATGGTACCAAAGGACGTCAATTAATCTTTTGACGTACGAACAAATACACCAATGTTTTCTTTCCTTTCTCTCTGAGCAGTACAAAACCGTAAATGATTTTCCTCTTTAATTGGACGATAAAAAATTACCACTATAGTCTGGGCCGGGATCCGATCGCGATAAATGGCGACAAGCTCTATTTCTATCACTGTGAAACCTGATACTGTCATTTAGAACGAGACTTCAATAAATAATACTGCTCTGTTACAAACAGAGCAAAGCTTAACTGATATGTATAGTTATTTTTCTTCAAATTTGTCATTAACAAGATATATGCTAGGATTTCAATTTGAGATAACGCAAAATTAATTTGCGTCGCTCTTGTCGTGTGTTTTCCATTACATTTTTTTTTATTTGTGACGCATTGTACGCTAGATTAATATAATCATAAATCTTTTAGTTGTTATTTTTCCATTCTCTATTATTAGTGAGTAACAAAATACTTTTATCGAGAACATAATATAATTAATTACCTACAAAAAAATATTTATTTTAAGTAATCAAAAGATATTTCTTTTCTTAGTCATGAATTAAAATATTTAAATTGAGCAGTAGTCGCCTTCTATGACAAAATTAGTAACTATAGCAGCCAATAGAATCATTGTATTTTTACCTCTGGTTACCCTTTTATGTTGCTAGTACTACAGCTAACATATCATTGAGTAAAGCTGTTAATTAAATAATGAAACTGTCAAGTCGAAGTGAAACTTGCCCGTGAACTAAGTAATGACATACAATAAACCTAATCACACAAGTCGCGTTTGACAACTCACGTCTCACCTTGTTCCTTCAATTATTTACGAACTGTTTATCATGCTAATTAAATGCCAATCCCATTTGCGTTAAACTGCTATATCAATTGTAAATCATGAATTAAGACAATTTGATTCCAAAAACAGTTACAAAATTATATAATTAATAGACGACGTAAAATTGAAATTAAATAGCCAAGGGCTAATCGAAGTCAAAGAAAACATTTGATGGATTCGAAACTAAAACTATATTGATCTACTTCTAAATACGATTAGAATCTTGGAATTAGAAACATAATTACAAACAATTGAAATACTTTTATGAAAATAAAGTAACAAATACTATTTTGGTGTCCCTCAGGGTACAGATATTACAGAAGCTTTCGAAACACATCATCTCAAAGGAATTGCTGAGTCACTATTACCAAATTATTATGTAAGAAAAGCAACCAAGCCAAGGAATCAACCATTCACGTTTAAAGAAGATGGATTTTACAAAACTTTGAAGTTGAAAGTCATGGATCAGATCCAATCAATACCTAAAGATGTGAGAAAGAAAAGCGATTTTATCACTGATGGTTTATTGCTTGCTTTAATTATCTTGGCTCCATTAAGTTGTTGGGGCTGGACCCAAAGCTTTATCATAGGAGCCTCTCTAACCCTCATGACCAGTTACGTTCTGAGTTCTGTGGTCACATGCGCACACAACTATTTTCATCGAGGCGATAACTGGAGGATGTATATATTCAACTTAGCTGGTATGTCATTTAGGTAAGTTTTTGGTTCCTAGTACAATTACATTTAGGAATAGGAAACTGTGTATTGAAATTACAGTCAATTATTTTATTTGATACTTGTTGACTTGACTTTTTCCAATACATAAAAAGAAAAGTAGTTTTATTTTTCTACAATATAACTTTAGGGCCGTGGAGCCCAAATACACATCTTCTTTACAAAGATATTGTAAGGAGGATGATTGACACTTCAAGTAATTGAAGGGCTGGCTACTACCTTGGGCAAAGGTTAAGCATTACCATTCAACGTGGCAATGCTGCCTGTCTTTTGGGCACCTTACCTCACGGTAGCGATGAGGAAAATTTTTTCTTTGAGTATTAGGAGGCAGGCACAAAAAATGACATGTCATTAGTAATTACTACTACCGAAGTTACCGTGACTTCTCAGTGCATTGGTCTTCTATCGGAATTCTAATATGAATTGATGTTTCGAAATTGTTAATTTAGCAGAAAATAAATCTAATTATGTCTAATATCTACAGTTTGTTAAAAGGAAGTTGCTCGTACGTAATTGCTTCTGTTGCTTCTTTTCATTGTTAATGAGCGTGATAGTTCGCATTGCAAAGAATAATTAAAACTGCAAACGTTAGCAGGAAAACATAAAAATATAATGAAATACAAATACCTTGGACTTGAGCTGTTGACCTCAATTATGAAAACGGTAACAACTTATTACAGAATCTTTACTAAAAGAAAATGTTACAGCTTGCAGCATAGGGTTCTCTTTTGAACACATAGATTATATAGATATTGTCAAAACCTTCCATACCTTAAATAAGAAAAAGACTGCAGATTTGTGGGGTAATTCTGTGTACATCGCCGGCTCTGTTATAGCTATTATAGCACCTTTATTAGCTCTAATTTTTAATAATTGTATCGACCGCGGTGTGTTTCCTGATCTTATGAAAAATAGTAAAATAACTCCGTTATTTAAATCAGGTAGTACTTCTGACCCCACTAACTTTAGACCTATTTCAGTACTGCCTACATTTAGTAAAATTTTTGAAAAAATTATTCTAAATCAAATGCAAAGATTTTTTAATAGAAATAAATTGTTACATGGTAGCCAGTTTGGTTTTACCAGGGGTCGTTCAACAACTGATGCCGGTGTTGAACTTCTTAATCACATATATGACGCGTGGGAGGACTCAAGCGACGCTTTGGGCATTTTTTGTGACTTATCCAAGGCGTTCGATTGTGTCCTTCATGATACATTGATCAGGAAGCTATCCCACTATGGAATAAGAGGTAAATCTCTGGATCTTCTTACCTCATACTTGAGTAACAGGATTCAGAGAGTCGAGATAAACGGAAAAGTCTCCGCCGGGTCTGTTGTCAGGATGGGGGTTCCGCAGGGGTCAATTCTCGGCCCTTTTTTGTTTCTTATATATATAAATGACTTGCCTTACCTTGTAAAGGATAACCACGGGATAGTACTGTTTGCGGATGATACTTCGTTATTATTCAAACTTAAACGTAGACAATTAGTCATTGATAATGTAAACAGCGCTCTCTCGGAGATAGTACATTGGTTTAGTGCCAACAATCTACTACTAAATGAAACTAAAACTAAATGCATTAAATTTACAACGCCAAATGTTAGACATGTAAAGACCAGCGTGTTAATTAAGGGTGAGGAGTTGGGCCCTGTAGATTCTGCTGTCTTTTTAGGTATAACCCTAGACGCTAAGCTCCAGTGGGCTCCACATATAGATAAGTTATCGAAAAGGCTCAGTTCTGCAGCATATGCCGTTAAAAAAATTAGAAATTTAACCGATGTAGATACAGCGCGATTAGTATACTTTAGTTATTTTCATAGTGTTATGTCATACGGTATTCTCCTATGGGGGAATGCTGCTGACATTCAATCTATCTTTGTTTTGCAGAAGAGGGCCATTCGATCAATTTATAATCTTAGTCCGAGGTACTCTCTCAGGGAACTATTTAAAGAAATTAATGTAATGACTGTTGCCTCTCAATACATTTATGAAAATGTAGTATATGCTCATAAAAACAAAAGTTTATTTAAAAAGCATAGTGATATACATAATATCAACACGAGAAATAAAGACAAATATGTTGTTCCCACTACTAGACTAAAGAAAATAAGTGGTTCGTTTAGATGTCAGAGTATACGCTTTTACAATAAAATTCCCAGCCATATCCAAAATTTGAGTCTAAATAAATTTAAAAATGTCATTAAAGATAAACTTTTTAGTAAAGCTTTTTATAAAATAAAAGACTACCTAGATGATAGTCTGGCTTGGGAATAAGCCGCTGTAACGTCCACACAGGTCATGTTGACATGTTTGTAACATATAGTTACATTTCTTTTTATATGCAATTTGACATTATTAGCATAATGTGATATTGTTTTTCATTTGAAAAATTTATATTTTTTTTAAACTTGACATTTACCTCTATTTTTTACAATTGTTAGTGCTAGGACCGTGCGAGACTTTGCCTCGCCATTTCTTTTCTTATTTCTTACTCATACTCTGACAGTTTGAGTATTTGTGCGACCCACGCAAATGTTCTTTAGGTTGGTATTGTTCGTCGAATCACTCAGCCTCATCTGTTAATTGAGCTGACTGTAAACCGACACATGCGTACTGCTTTCAGAACGGGTCCGCTCAAACTGTTGTGGTTCTTTCCTCAAAAGGCCACTACAGAAAGAACTTGCACGGTTCTCACACGTAATCTTTTTATACATATTTGTCTGGACTTTAAAAGAGACAGACCTCTGAGTTTGTTTCGGCATTTCTTCTCAGAGTAGTCAGTTAGGAAATGTCGACCTCATCGTTCGCTTGATAAAATTGACGTGTAAAAGTGCTGCCTTGTAGCCTATTTGCAGAAATAAATTCACTTGTTTCACTTGTTTCACTTGTTTCACTTGTTACATTGTTAAAACTTAATACTAAACAAAACAAACTAATAGAGTAATTAGTAACATACAGATAAAGACAATAATATGTATCATGCACAATATACCATTTTTAAGTGAAAGAGCAGATTTAAGTATGGGAGAACCATGCTTCTGCACGAATGGGCCGGCTCGACCGGAGTGATACCGGCTTCACAGAAATCCGATGTGGAAAAACGCTTGCGTTGTATTTCGTCCTGTGAATGAGGTTACCGGAGGCCCAATTATCCCCCCCCCCTTCCCCAATCACCACAATCCCTGAACCTCGAACCATCTCTTTAAATTCCTGATCCCCAAATGGTCGATAAAACATGCCTGATCCCCAAATGGGCGGCACCATAATTCGGCTTAGTAATCAAGAACATAGTGGCACACTCAAACATTGCTTTTGAAGGTAAAATACCGGCTAACACATAATTCTCGATTATCTTTTTGTAGAATTATTTTATGTTTATTTAGTTATAATACTGTTTCCGTCCAATTCTACAAATTCCAAAGTTATGTACTAACATCCTTAATATGTTAGTGCAGTGAAACATAAAGTTTGACCACCCCATGTGAATTTCTCGCTATAAACTAAACTAACATCGTTGAGTTGTTATCCGATGAAAACTTTACAAGATAATTTCACTCCAACATACTACACTCGGGAGCAAAGAAACGGAGTCACCAGCTTTTTTCACTTCATCAACCCCTCTGTAAATAAAAAATACAATTCACAGCAACACAGAAATATTAAAAACTGCATTTATTATACATAAATGCACAACATGTTCTCATTTTAAAGGTAACTAAATTGCCTTTTGTACAACATACGTCACCAATTAATAAAATATTTGAATCCGAAAATATTTATCAAGAAATAGAAAATAAAAACCGCATGTGGTTCCGTTTCCTTGCTCTCAAGTGTACAAACTTTATACCAAGGACGTTGAAATAGAGCGGATATAATTTATTTATTTATTAACTCATTAATGCATACAAACATAAGGTACCTACATAAGGTCACTTAGAAATGATGGAAGCACCAAAATGTCAGTGGTTTATTTATGTATGCATTAAGAAAATGACAGATGTTCTTCGTGTCAACGTGTGTATGTTCTGCTGTAGTAGTAGTAAGCCTGTAGTAGTAGTAGTCAGGTGCCAGTTTTTGTTTCAAGAGACTCCGCCCGCCTTTTTTCAACGTCCTTGCTTTATACATAAACTATAGTTTAACCACATTCTATAAGAACCTCATTTGTTCGGTCCATCTTCAATGCTAGAAGAATATCGTGTGCCGAATTTTATAACGGCTAAACATGTGAAAGCAGGACAGATTGGCAAAGAACTTTCACCTTTGTTTTATTTTGTTATTAGATAGTTGTTAGTGTACCCATTCTCAGATATAACAATCATTATTATTTTGGTCGTTTGTGATATTTTGCTTCTTATTTGAATTTGAACTTAACATTACACTCTTTTTAATCCACGAAGAGGTCGGTAGTGATGTGCAAAAACAATGTAACATCCATTTATACCTATGTTATGAATTCCAAGGAATAGAGGATGAGTTTTTATGGGATAAGCCGGTAAATGAGCACACGGATCACCTGATGGTAAGCAATCAGCGCCGCCCATGGACAGAGGCGTTACAAGTGCGTTATCGGCGTTTGGAGAATTGAGAATATGAGCATTGTGGGGGATTCGGGGATTGTAGAGACTGGGGACGGGGGTTATTGGGCTTCGGGTTACCTCACTCACACGAGAAAACACAACGCAAGCGTTGTTTCACGTCGGTTCTCTGTGAGGCCGTGGTATCACTCCGGTCGAGCCGGCCCATTCGAAGCATAGCTCTCCCACACTTACATGATGAGTTATAATAGATATCTTCCTAATACTTTTTTAAATAAAGGTGCGAAAATACTTCGACCTTCTTTTGTAAAATAATCTTTTGTAGATACAACAACAAGTATTACTCGAACCATCTTCTCCGCAGACAGAAGTCTCGGTACAAGTTTCCATCCTATTCAAACTGTAGTTAAAACACTTAATACCAACGACTTGCTTGAGTTGTAACTGGTTTAATTGATCAATTAGCAGAATAAATTATTTACTTTACACTGTTCAAGATAAGATTGAACTATTCAACTCGGTTTCCTTAAGGTAAATCAAGATAAACAAATTCTCTCAGGTATTTTAGAAATTTGTTTCTTACTGCATTGTAATTTAGGTAAATCTATTTATCTTAGATAATTATTATTGTACCTCTATAGTATTTTATCTCGGTCTTGCTTACTGACTTCCTTAGGTACTGGTTTTAAGCAATTTTTATTAATCTTACAATTTAATATTTATTTTCTACGAAATTAGATTTAGCAGTCAAAACTTGCAGTAATCATTATCTAAATTACATATAACATAACATTTATCCCCGAAGGGGTGGGCAGAAGTGTACATTACGGCACGGCACTTAATATCAATGTACAATGTAATGTAATAGGGTGTGAGCATATTGCAATATACCGGGCACAATTCCGGAGTCTGTACTACCTACTACTAATATTCTTTTTTTATAAACCCAATATAACTTTTCGACCCGGGGGTTCGAACCCGAGATCCCTTGCCCGGTATTCGCACTTGCGACCACACAGCCAACGAAGCAGTCTGTATTATCTAAACTCTACTTGTGGTAGTAACTACGAATAACAAAGAAATAAATATGCACCTTAATATAAAGTGCTTATATCACATATTTAATTCTTTATCATATTTTTCAGTGACTGGAGGGTCTCCCATTCAATGTCTCACCACCTACATACGAACACTGCTCAGGACATTGAACTTTCCATGATAGAACCTTTTCTTCAATTCATACCGTATAAGGACAAGCCTATATGGGCACAAATGGGTGCTTTCTACTATCCTCTCGTTTACGCTACGTCCCTACTTTCAATTATGGGTCACGAGTAAGTATTATTTATTTATTACTTCGTACTACGCTCTGAGGGTCTAGTACGAATTTGTTTTACGTTCAACGAGTTCAGCGCTCTGATTGGCCTGCTCCAGTAATCCAACCAATAAGAGAACTAACGTTTTGATCTCGTTCAACATAAAATAAACTTGTACTACGCCCTTTAATTTAGCTTTGTTTACGTATAATAGTTACTTCACTTTGGCTGCTTTGTACAGAATTTTACTCAAGATCTAAAAACTGTCTTGAGCAAGCATGATGATTTATGCTCATTCTTGTTTCGATTGAGAAGACCCCACTGTTCAGCAGTGGACACTTATAGGCTGTCGTTATGATATATATGTGTGTATGTTTTCTAATACGTATGTTACGTACTTAACAGTCAGAGTTGAGTACAACTAGTCAAATTCAATACTTTTTTCGAGTTGTCAAAAACGACAGTGTTCTATGACTTTTGTACGAGATTGTGTATTGTGACGTCACTTTTTTTTAGCGACAAACAGAATGGTGTTATGTAATAAGTAATGACTTATTTCTTAAAAATTTGCTGGAAAATATTAAAATTAAGTTGGTCATAAAACCAACTAAATTAATGAACATGTGATTCTTTTTTAATATTTTATTGTATTTGTATTAAACAGTCGAAATCATTTATTTTTGATTAAGGAAAGTAATTGAATAAATTACTTTTATCTTTGTTTCATTTTACCTGCCTGAGTGATCAATAAAATTGTAAAAAAATATTAAAATTATACCGTTTACAATTTAAATTAAAATATGTCTCATTGACAACACTGGTCATTCGTGCGCTGGTTACCCATTCGTCATAATATACCTATTTATCTTATCAAAGCCTGTATTGTATGTGTTTCTCAGTTCATGAACTCAATAACATACTTAAATAAAGAACATTGTACTTGAATAATGTTCGATATCAAAGCCATTCGTTGCTTAAAATTGATGACAAAAAGTCTACGCAAACTTTTTGCTGATCCAAAAGACCTTGAGGTCCATAATGACCTACAACAAAAAAGTTATTAATTTTCTAGTGGTAGGTACCTATTTCAACCGACTAAACTGCTTGAAAATTAGACTTACCTAATTGCGAGACAATAAAGTTAAAAAATGAATCATGAAGTATTGGAAGTTGACCTAAAACACTAGTTTGTCACTAATTAGTTAGAGGTCGCAAATAATACTTATTTAAGCCTTGAATCTCAGTCAACCAAAAGCCAGACCCAGCGTTGATACAAGATAATACATACTTTAATTGAAATTTTTATTTCGGAAACTCAACTGATAGGTACTCTTAAAATGTAAGTTTCAATACTGAATTTGCTATAGTAACATGTTCAGTTCGAACTTATTATTTATGATAAAAAACCACAAACAGCCACGCTTGGACTGGTACTGTCATTACAACGATTTCATGTTGTCGTTTTTCTAACTTAGAACCTACCTACGCAAATATAGTTAAGAAAACTTGATATTGCATAAAAATAACCTGTCTTATATAAATACTTATAACAAAACAAAAAGTCATGTAGAGATTATATTGAGGAAGAAGCAGCTTCGCAGCACCCGCGTTACCGTCATGGGAATGCCAATGTTTGAAAAAAAAATTAATTGGGATGATGACAGGGTATGAAAATAAAAAATGTAATTAGTCCGTAAGCTAGGTAGGTAATTAAAAAAATATTAAACACGTATTTTTTTATTTTGTCATTTATTTTGATAAAACGAATCAAAGTTTAGGAGTGGGGGCTAAAACGTCATTTCTACGTATAAAATGTACATAGAAGTGACGTCACGCGACATTTCAAATCAATATATCGTCGAAAGTATTCGTTTCTGTAAGAAAATAAAAAATACGTGTCTAATGATTTAAAATAATCTACCAGACATTATAGATATAGACAAATAAAAATTAGGCATCTACCCTATTAACCCATAGATCCCCAAGCGGTCACCGGTGACCGCTCTCCCCTAATATTACATTACATTATAGACTTTATTTCCAATGTTTAGCGACTACTTTTGTATGACCAAATTTAGGGGATGGATTTCAACGGGTCATAGCCTCTGTTTATTCCAGACCATAATCTACCCCGGTTCCAAATTTCATGCTGATCCCTTCAGCCGTTTTAATGGAATTTAATAACAAACATACACACAAATTCTCTAATTTTCACATTTATAATTAAGTAAGACGTAACATGTATGTATGTACCTATGTACTCTGTTTTTTATTATGTATTGTCCTCTGTGTTGAATGTGTGTACATAAATTAATAAATAAATAAATAAATGAATTTAAAATCATCATCAACAGCCTATAAATGCCCACTGCTGAGCAAAGCCTCTTCTCACACGGAGAAGGTTAGAGCATTAATCACCACGCTTGCTCAATGCGGGTTGGCGATTTCAAACTTATAATTAGAAATTATAAGTCCAGGTTTCCTCACGATGTTTTTCCTTCACCGTTTGTCAGTAGTGTCTAAATAATCTTAGAAAGTACATATAACTCGGAAAAAGTCACATTGGTACTTGCCGTTGGTAGGTTTCGAACCCGCACCCTCATCAAGCTGAATTTAAAATAGGTGCTTAAAATAACAACGATCAAATGTACCAATTTATGTTCGTACACTTCGTAAGCCGAATCTGTAACCAATTTTGAGGGGAAATCGTACCTAAAACCCGATTTAATTAAAGCCAAAAACTTACCTTGTTCCCAAATATTGTTGGACCCAATTAAACTACCTGTACAATACAATCAAATAACGTGTTAACTGGATAATCCAGGTGTAGTTTGATATTTATATAAGACTTCGTTAAAATTTTCCAGTTTTGTTACTTTTAGTAGATACCCTTCGTGTGGGTATTGGGGGAAGGGATGAAAGTCATGGAATTAACTAAAAAAGTATGGTGAATAAGTCTGTCGTGGTGGCCCGGAGGTTAAGACGTCCGCTTCTCATGCATGAGGGTGCGGGTTCGAAACCTACCAACGGCAAATACCAATGTGACTTTTTCCGAGTTATATGTACTTTCTAAGATTATTTAGACACCACTGACAAACGGTGAAGGAAAACGTCGTGAGGAAACCTGGACTTATGATTTCTAATTATAAGTTCGAAATCGCCAACCCGCAATGAGCAAGCGTGGTGATTAATGCTCAAACCTACTCCGTATGAGAAGAGGCTTTGCTCAGCAGTGGGCATTTAATGGCTGTTGATGATGATGATGAATAAGTTGAAGAATGATTGTGAGTTAAAATATATGATCAGTATGATAAACATGATATTTTGAATAGTAGATAATACAAAGGGATGCTGTGACTGGACGCGTAAAGGTGAATACAGAACTCAATGCAGTGCTTTTGAATAGATATATGTCAAATTATGAATAGAAATGAACAGTTATGAATAGATAAATAAAACAGACAAAACAAGAAGTAAAGTCAACTAAGTTTCAGTATAGGTACCTAGGTATAAATAAAATTCAATACAACTTGGTGGTGTTAGAGAATACCAGTTGTTTGTATAGGAATACATTTGTACGATTTCTGTATAACTTCATATACTACATACCTTAATTTTAGAAGCATTTGTATTTGTAGGTACACGTACACGTGATACTTGGTTTTCACCTTTGACATTTCATTTGTAGGTACTTGATATTAACAAAATACGTCATTGTAAATTTACATAATAATTAGGATTACAAATATGTTATTTTTACTGTATTTACCTATTATGGAGTACAATAGAAATACAAATTTTTGTTTTGATAGCTTAATTCTTTAGGATAATCGATGAGGTATATATTGTATATATGTATATATATATGTGCATCTACAGACTGGGTTTTGCCAGGTATCTGTTAATTATTCACATTATTACAGAAGCGAGTTTTAAACCAAACACCGAAAACAATTTTACATTTCGTTCTATTGATTATACCTCTAGATAGTGAAATCGAAAACCCAATTATATTTTGTGTGCCCTCGTTTGAATTATGAATATAAGATTTCAACCTTGTTACATTATGAAACATAATATTTAAACAATAATAATATGTTCACTTTAATTCCGAGTTATATTTATACTTTCTAAGATTATCTAGACACCACTGACAAACGGTGAAGGAAAACATCGTGAAATCGCCAACCTGCCAGCATTGAGCAAGCGTGGTGATTAAGGCTCAAACCTACTCCGTGTGAGAAGAGGCCTTTCGTCAGCAGTGGCCACTGATAAACTGTTGATGAATTGATAAACTACTTACATGCAAAAACTAACCTTCAGAGGTGTTACATAAAATCTGATTTCTAAATTCCAGGTTGATACTCAGTGCAACGAACCATGAAGGCAAGACGTTAACTTGGAAGAATCTGATTCCATTCTTGATTCCAACTTGGATGTACATAATGGGTGGCTTGCCTTTACACTGGACTATTGTTCTCTGGCTAGCCACTATGGTACCAGCTAGCTTCTTCTTCGTTTTCTACGGATTAACAGCTGGTCATCATAACCATAGGAACTTCTTTGAAGGGGATGTTCCTAGGTAAATATATTTTATTATTATCTAGTGCTAATTTCATAATGGAAAGCGAGATGTGAGGTATACATTATTCACTAGTTAAGGTTATGAAACAACAAGTAAATAAGTCAATTTATTTCTGCAAATAGGCTATAAGGCAGCACTTTAACACGTCAATTTAATCAAGCGTCCTATTGAGTACCTACTCTGAGAAAAATGTCGAAACAAAATCAGTGGTCCGTTTCTTTTAAAATCCAGACAAATATGTATATAAGATTATGTGCGAGTTCCGTGACCCGTGTAAATAGAGGGTGACTTTTGTTATTTATTTTTTATTGAAAGTGACTATGCGCTATGCTGCATATAAAAATATGAAGAAGTAGTATCTTAAATAATAAAAACAATAACTAGATAGTGGCCAGCTTCAATTAAACTATGAATAATAACGAAATAAATTTTATTTTTGGAATAATTAAAAAAAATTACCTACTTCAACATTTTTCTGAATTGAGAAACAATTAGGTATTTATATTATAACTTTCGTGAGATATACTAAATTAATTATTAGGTTTTCGGCTTAATCACGTAACTATTTGACGAGGTACTCGACTAGTATCAAGCCATACTAGAGGCCCTTATTTATGAGTAGCATTCCGCGACCCGCGATGCGAACGCCGTCGCGCTGCTACTGGCTGCTCGGCTCTGCGGCGATGCGGGCCCAACGCGCCCTCTGCCGTGATTCAATTTGAAACTAGTCGAGTTCCGCGTCAAACAGTTACGTGAGTAAGCCGAAAATATAAAAATTAAATTAGGTATTTCATACTAGTCATAAGATCATAAATGATAACTCTAACAAAAAGGCGAAATTTTCTTTTTGTTCAAGTTTCTCATAATAATATCTAAGTAATAATTTACATACATAAAGCTGCAAGTAATGTAATAAATAACAATAATAAGAAAACTAAAAATAAATTATAAATAACATGGCTAAAATTCATAATATTATAAGTTTAAAATAAGATATAATTAGATATGATATTTTTTTCTTAGTATTTACTTTGAGATAGTTAATAATATTATGACGTAGATTATATAATAATAATATTGATTTATTTCTCATCATAACATCACGCATTTAATGCCTGAAGGGATAGACAAAAGTGCAAATTGCGGCACTTAATGCCACTATACAATGCTACACCCACTTTTCACTATTTATGTTATGAGTCCCACGTAATAGGGGCTAAGTCTATTGCCATATACCGGACACAATTCCAGACTCCGTGCTACTACTGATATTTTTTTTAAAACCCAGTAATATTTTACCCGACCCTAGAGTCGAACCCGAAACCCCTTGCCCAGCAGTCGCACTTGCGACCACTCAGCCAACGAGGCAGTCATTTATTTCTCTTATCATCGATTAAAAATAACAGCAGACATCATGGTAGATGCACCCACCCGCACGAAGCGCTTCGATCAAGCTTCCTTGTGCGTACTGCTAAAGAGTGGAATACTTTGCCAGAGTCTGTATTTCCTCAAGGGTATGGGGTGTGTTCACGGCCCGAGTGAATAAGTTGCTTATGGGAAGACGTGCTCCATCGTAGACCGCATCATAACTTACCACCAGGCGAGATAGTGGTCAAACGTCGGCCCATACCTATATAAAAAAAAAACAATTATACAAATAAAACTGTGATTGGTGTCTGTTAATAAAACTTGTGCCAAACATAAGTGTGCAAACAAAGGAAATTGCTATAGGTAATTTAAACATTCGCATCCTTAAAATAAAGTTATTTTACTGTAACTTAATACAAAATAATTATACTTTAACTTTAGTAATTAAGAAAAAGTATGTTCTACAATGAGTAACGAATGGTTTTTCTTTCTCGTTCTTCTCCATTCGAATCTACATTTTGGAATGAGCACCTAGCTTCACCTAGCTTCACTGGCGGACTGTCTGACAGACTTATTTATTTAGTATTTGTTGACGTTTCAAAAGTGCCAAAATATGGTTTAATTGAAATAAATGCTTTGACTTTGACTTTGAAGAAGTACCTGTCCAGGTTTAAAAATATTACTGCTTAAGATTACTGAAACTATAAATTTGTATTATAAGTTTCGTGAGATATAGTAAATTAATTAATATGTTTTTCGACTTACTCACGTAATTAGGTATCTATGCTAGAGGCTCATATTCATGAGCTGAATTCCGCGACCCGTACCTAAGGCCGCGACACGGCAACTGTCGCACGGCTTAAAACTAGTCGAGTTCCTCGTCAAATACCTCTAAATATGTGAGCACGCCGATAAATTTGTTAAACACAAAAAACCTAATTTGTTAAATACACATAATTAATTATACATAAATACACATTTACGTACATAGGTACATACCTACATAATTATGATTACGAACAAAATTACCAGTCTATTGTTTTTTTTTTAATTTTATGCGTAATACAAAAATGTACCTATAAAAACGTAAACTGTTAATTCTACTATTGTTTTCCAAACTTATTTGCATTAGTATGACGTTGTTTCGGATTATCGATTCGTAATTCGTAAATCTCGTAAATAAAAAAATGTTTAAATATAAAGAATTAAATATCTTTGCGTTGAAAAACAAATTCACAATGTTTATAAAAAATAACTGTATTACACACAAAGTGCAAATCGGGCAAAGCATTAATTTAATTGCCTCATTGTTTACGAGGTGAAAGGCTCCCCGAAAATAAGGGTGTCGGGGAACGAATTTGAGATATCTACTTTTGGAGCTACAGTACGCTACGGTTATCACTTTAAAGAACAGTGAGTAGGTAATGTCAGTAACTTTCTCGTGTAACATTATTTTTAAAGGATAATCTAAACGTAAACAAAAAATGTCCGATAAACCACTACGTTACTGACCAATACACCTCCAATTTTATTGAACAAAATGATCAGTTGACGAAAAACGTAAAAACACCAATTTGTATACCGAAGTCCAGGAGTCCATTTAAACTTTCATTATGAGAACCTCCGAGCCAAACAGTGTAAACTTCTGGCTATTCACAAACTGCACCTTTCACATAATTAGAATAAAGTTCTACTATGAACACAGTTTCAGACACCTGGTTCAGAGAATCTGTGAATTTCCGATCAGAATACTCTTCAATAATTCATTCATTACACTATCTATGAACCTACTATATTCATAGTAAGGACTTAATGGTAAATGACAATAATAAATGACACTGAAACCACTATGAATTGCAAATAAATTATTATATTAATGAAATGTGTACAAACAGTATCTAATATAAGTCCATCGAGTAGGTACCTAAATCAACATGATCGATGATGCGAATAGACATTAAACCTATCCATATAGAACAAATCTTTCATCTTCCAATAGATATAGTATTCCACGAAAATAAATTTTCCAAATCCTTTTCATGTCAATATCTAGAAGGCATCGACTTGAAAATAATAATTTATAAGTGAATAGAAAAACTAGACGAATTTATCTAAATTAAATAAAAAAATCTTTTGAACCTTGCGGTTGACTTTGAACCGGGGCAACCATTTTTATTTATTACAAACATCGACTGATTTATTAAAGACCATCTTTCTTTTTCAGAGACGAAAATATCGATTGGGGCATTCATCAGCTGGATGCGATTTGCGAGAGAATCGATTATGCGGGCAACCATTTTAAATCGATTACTCGTTTCGGGGACCATGCGCTGCATCACCTGTTCCCGACACTAGACCATGCGGAGCTCAAATACTTGTACCCGGTACTTTTAGAACATTGTGAAAAGTTCGAATTTCAATTTAAAACTAATACTTTTTACGAAACAATAATAAATGCGAGTAAGCAATTAATACGAAAACGCCCAAACAACTTTAGAGATGTAAAGGCGACGAAATAAGGTTTAAATTATTCAAGCAAGTTAATGTAATTGAAGAAATAATACTTACTGTTATTGCAATGCGAGGCTGACGATAATAATTTATAAGGTTCAATAAATTTGTATATTTATTAGAGTACCTACATTTATAAAAAGTTTTAAAAGTACAATTATGAAATCTATTGAATTAAAAGCTTCTTGCTTAAATGAACAAACTACAAGAAATATGACCAAAAATATCTGATATCTAAAGTATGTCGGTGAAGGGTTGGATTGTTTAAGTCATGAATAACGGCTGTGGATATGAAATAAATAGACTGCTTACTTTTTATATTGTTTTATTATTTCTTGTCACAAAGTTTTACGTTAAGTACTACTTAAGTATTATGGTCCTGTTCACTTCACACTTTTGTAGGGACGAATAGTGTAATGATGGTCACTACAATGGGTAGGTACCTAGTCCTTATGCCTTCAATAATTTTACTAATTTTAATTTAAGAGCATAATTAAACCGAACCCTGCAGACTGATAAACAAAGAAAATATCATACTGAAATAAAACCACGAATACTTCTAAAGTTCTGAAAAATACTCTCAACTGCAGAGAAAGTGACACATAAACTTGCAAGTTCCACCAAATGTTTAATAAATGTTGGACACCCCACTACAAAGGCATAAAGGCAGAAATACATTGCCGCGGTGTGTCATGTCGTGAAGCATATCGGTTTCATATATTTACTATGGTTAGAGACTGATAGTATAACCGAGGACGTCTTACCGGGTTGCCGGGATTTCAACTCGAAGCAGAAGTAGGAACGATGTGGTTTTTAGTTAGTAAGAGTCTGACTCTCCCTCTCGTCTAACCCAAGACGAGAGAAGTAAAGAATGATTTCTCGCTATAAAAAATGTCGTATCGTGTCTCATGGGTGTCAAAAATGCTTAAGGGCGATTGGTGGCCACGGCGCCACGTCACGCCACGCCACGATAATGTATTTCTGCCTTTACTCGCAACTCTCGAGTTGTTCACCCCACTCTATAGAAGGGAGGGCGAGACACATTTGTAACACACCGCAAGTCTGATTGTACCGATCCTCCTCTTTGAGTGAAGTTGGCAAGTTTGAAAATGCTTACAAGTTTACACGATTACTTAGTTAACTTATCTATACAGATAAATAAAATTGGAGTGTATGTTTGTAATATTAAAATAATTACTTTTTTAATCGCATTTATATATATTCATGCATAATATGCATATGAATATATTTAAATGCGATTAAAAATGTTATTTTCGTATGTGACCGTACTAAGGTATGTTAAGGAGTAAAATAGGCTACTTTGATTTTAAAAAACTGACACAATAAAGTACCAGCTAGCAACAGCTAGTAGTATCTATGTGTAGTGATGATCACTTTTATTCTAGTTTAGAGTTTGAGTTTAATACAATTTGGTATTTACGTAATGGCAATAAGCTTGATATTTCATGCATATTAAATAGTGTTAGTAGACATCTGTTACCAACGTTTTTAAGCATAATTGCATCTCCTCGAACCCAAGTCAGATCATCAGTAGAATAAAGCATGTCAACCACCTTAATTGTATAATATTCATTTATTGATTCCAAATAGTTATCATACCAATAAAATAAAGACTGAATACCTTCCAGAAGAACTCTTACTTTCTTGAAGATTTTTACAACAGGGTATGAAAATTAAAAATATAATTAGTCCGTAAGTTAGGTAATGAAAAAATATTAGCCACGTAAGTATTTTTTTATTTTGTCTTATAAAACAATACTTAGATAAAACGAATCAAAGTTTAGGAGTCTGGCTAAAACGTCAGTTCCACGTATAAAATGTACATAGAAGTGACGTCACGCGACATTTCAAATCAATATATCATCGAAAGTATTCGCTTCTGTAAGAAAATAAAAAATATGTGTCTAATGATATAAAATAATCTACCAGACGGACATTAAAATAAAAATTAGGCATCTACCCTATTCTCACAGTTAAGACTTATTACTAAATTACTCAAATAATTAGTATACTAAATAAATTAGTATGACAAATAGTAACCTTAACAAACCTATTTAAATTATTCAACGTGACTTAATAAATGACCAATAAACGTTAAGATGGAGGGCAAACGTAGCAGTCTGTGGCTTGAGGCTACCCACTCCGAACATGGCGACACTTGTTCGAGCAACCACAAACCTTACTAACAGGACAGAAGGTACCTTCTAACCCTCAAAACCCTCTCATAAGTCTTCGGTTACCAAGTAATAAATTGCTAAAATAATTACATTACAAATCTAATTCTAACTCACCTTATAAACGTTGCTAAAATAAAGTCGGTGTAATTTTATCATATAGAGGTAGAATAACTAGTAATGTGATTAATATAATTATGATAAGGTCTTTGAACATCATTTTGGAGTTATGTTCAGTTTATTTATGATTTTCTTGGAATAGATACAATGGTGGATATGGTACTTACGGCGGCCTAATAAATGAACAAGTTATAAAATAAAATCTTACCCTGCAACTTAGACAATTACTTAGAATTTGTAAGCAAGCAATCAATATGGTATTGATTGCTCGCTTAGAAATACAAGGCAAGTATTTGAAGTGGGGTAAAAAATAAAATTGTAAATTGTTTCACACATAACATAAACATAACATAACATCACGCCTTTTATCCCCGAAGGGGTAGGCAGAGGTGCACATTACGGCATTTAATGCCACTGTACAATCTAACATCCACTTTTCACTATTTACGTTATGAGTCCCATGTAATAGGGGGTGAGCTTATTGCCATATACTGGGCACAATTCCAGACCCCGTGCTACAACTGAGAATTTTAAAATTTTAAATTGTTTCAATTCAGTAAAAGTAAAACTCAAATGCAATTCGTGTCAAAATTAGGCTGTAGAATTATTTAGTCTCATAAGATTAATATTAGCAGAGGGAGAAACAAAAAATAAAGAAAAGTACTGCCATTATTCACAAGACGGTCAAACAAAAGCTCCGAAGAAAACAAACACAAAATCCGTCTAAATCCTTTTCAGATTCGTCGTCTCTAAATTCAAAAGCAACGTCACGCTTGAGGGGAACCTACATCAATGTTCATTATCCTCTCGCCCTTCTAATGACCTTAGTAAGAGACAGAACATTACCACGTCACACTGGGATCACACGTCGTTAAACAACGTCCAAATAGTCTCAACGGTATCATGAGACCTAAACAACATTCGCGATCTAATGAAAGAACCAACAATATTCCAAGTGTGTGTACAAAGTATTAAACAACACAGATGTATAAAGATCTAGAAGGTGCAAGCCATTTCTACATCTACTTCAGTAAACGGTCCATTTGATGAAGACTAAAATAACCGTTGCAATTGATAAAATCAAGATCGGTCATGCTATAATGTAAGGGCAGCGATTGGCATCCGGATCCCAGCTTCTGAAATCTCCAAATGGACTTAAATTCTGGACTGACTCCAAATTGATAGCCGAGTATACGTAGTACCAATTTGGAATTTAAAACTGAATTCCTACAGTCTTCCGTCCGGTATAGTCAAACTTTATTGGTTACTAGCATCTGCCCGTGATTTCGTCCGCGCAATCCTGTTTTCTCCCGTTCCTTCAACCAACCTCCAACCTTCTCTAAATAATAACAAATACAACACTAAAATAATTAGTGAAATCGGTCCAGCCATTCACGCGTGATGCCATGACCAAGGGAAAAAGAAACACACTTGTTTATTTGTGCATTACCTTTTATTATGTATTTTTTTCAATTATCTCTACAATAATTGTTTAGAAATTTTATATTTTTTAAGGTTATTCTTTTTTTTTTTTTATTCTCTTATATTTGGTGAGGGGTTTTTATCCACATGGATATGTCAACCCCATTGTAACTTATACACTATTTTCATAAAATTATTAAACACATATTATTAACACTTTTCGTACTTAACTAATTTTTTAAGGTGTATTTTATTTTTTACTTATTTGTATCTACAATATTAATATTAGTTTAAGTTAATTTTAAGTTGCATATATATTAATTCAAAATAAATCTCACATTGTTCATAGATAGTACTTACTTGTTACATTGGACAACGAGAAAATGGTTTCCGTCATAGAATTTGTCGATTCGTCTACAAAATAAATGTACACTAAGCTATTCTTCGTAGGTATTTCTTCACCGTTTCTTGTGTTGATTGTGACAAATTCGATGCGCTATCTAGAACAATTTAAATATCTAAGTTTCAACTTACATATGACCGATTAGTCACAAATACAATTAGACAAACTTCGATGTTTATTCCGTTCAGTACGGATTGAAGCAAGTGAACGAACGAATGATTTTAATATAAGGGAAGTGAATGAACTATTAAGGACCATGGACTGTAATATTATAGTTGGAGCTCATTTCATGAGGGTGAAGCGTGAAGCATACAAATGCTAACATGCCCGATCGTTGTTCGTAGAAAACCGTCTCTCGCCTTTGATCCTAATTCGAGATACATTTTCATATGAAAGCATGAATTGAAAGGAGAACTAAGATCTTGCACGTAGCACATATTTATTTATATATTACTCTAACATATCACTTAGAGTTATAATAAAGACCTATATCACTACATAGTATAAAACAAAGTCACTATCCGCCGTCTGTCTGTCACTATGTATGCTTACATCTTTATAACTACGCAACGGATTTTGTTGCAGTTTTTTTTAATAGAGTGATTCTTAAGGTAGGTTTATATGTATAATACTACAGAACATATAAATCTTCTTGACAGAAACAGAAAATATATGTTCTGTGTATAATACATGCATATTGCACACGCCGACGTGCAGGAGAAGGAACGGGGTGGTTTTTAATCAGTGAGAGTCTGACATTCCCTCCCGCCTCACTCAGACGGGAGCAGTCATTCAATGATTTTCCCCCCTTAAAAAAAGCTATATTATTTTACTTTATACATATATTTAGTTCATTCGTTCTTAGATA